CCAGTTTTACCAGGTCACCAAAAATGAGCCTGATACGTCGGAGGAATGAAAATGTCTCTCCTTCTTGTTATGCTTATATGGATGGGGTTAAGCCTGGGAACCTCCAAAGTATTAACCAGCTAAGGGGAGACAGCTCCCCAGTAGGCATCGGTTCTCAAGATCAATGGGACACTGCTGCCAGTAAACTAAGAGAATTTGATGCCTTCACATCAAGCCCTTTCTATGAAAGACCTGGATTCTACAGTGCTCCTCAGACACCCATCAGCTCAGTCCCAATGATCTTGCCATCCCAGCGTCAAAACCGGAAAAAACCTCCTGCTCTCTCCAATATTGCTGCCTGTCCCACTTTTCCGAAGGACAATACTACCAGCCAGTCTCCTTGCAAAGCCAGTGATTTGGATAGGAGTGAGAACTTGGTTGGTTCAAAATCAAAGGAGTCTTTTCCATGGCCAGCTGAAAAAAGCCATGTTTCAGATTCATTAATCATACCAGTTAAAGAAGATACAAAAAACATAAGTTGGTCAAAAGAAACATCTCCTCTCGGAAGCCCAGAAGGACCTCTGTCCTCAGGGGATTCTGTAAATACCAAGTTCCCCTTTGTGGAGTGCACGGGCCCTGAGATACAAACCAGTTTCAAAAGCTTGAATAACTTGAAAAGCCACCAGCAACTTCCAGATAACATATCTCCAGACCATTCCAGCTTCCTTTATACTCATAACATCAAGACTGCTAATAGCAATGGTCCTGCTACTTTCTTTCCCTTCACCTCTTTGACTCCCCCAGGGCTTGAGCCATCTCATCGGAGCAAAGGGAATGCTGTTATTGTCCCTAGTTCAGAAGCTTCTCCTGGAGTTACAAAGCAAGATAGTTCAGCTGCTTCTGAAGCTGCAAACGATCCAGGAAGTATTTATTACACTGAGGAGCAGAGAAAGCCCACCAGCTCTTCACCTAATGACTCTGGCATCTCCCTAGCAGAAAGAGACTTTGTGGGATTAATGGAAGTGATCATGGAAATAAGTGAGAACACAAGTGATGAAGGGAAGGGAGAGAAGGGACAGTTCAGTTAAGTGGGCTCAAAGTCTTTTCATGTAGATGTGATGGGAGGGATTGCTTTATTATATTTAACATTATTATTCAACTTTTTAAGAGTAGCAAAAGCCCACACTACAGACTACAAAACAAGTGGAAATCAACATTTAGGCTGGGCAGCTGATTCCATAAATGCGTAAGTGCTGTCACTAACAAGCAAGTTAAGGGCCACTCATGGAATTTCGGCACCACACAACTAAGGAAATAACTTTAATTTCAGCAGAGTTACTTTGGTTCCATGTTTAATCTTTTGTTTGCTATTTTATCTGAAAGTACCAAAGAATGGGACCTTGCTGCCAGTGTTGCAAATACACATCCCACTTCAGGGAGAGACAATTTAATTGGGATAAATCATATACCCAGTTGTATGGTCATTGCCCAAGGACACAATGACTTCTTTTCCCCATCCTCCAATTACTTACAAAGGGGATTTTTTTTCCTCTTGTGAATATGACTCAACTCAGCCAGTCAGTTTATAGCACCAAACTTTCCAACCCAAACCCTAACATTTTTTTAAATAGAAGTTAATATGGCCTTGGTATTAAGGACTTGATGGCATGGCCTGTACTCCAGATGGCAGGAGAGGATGCAAATATTGGGGGCCTTTCTGTTGCCTTACAGTACAATTCTACCTTCACTGACTGAGTAAAAAAGAAGTTGAGATGTCAGAGGACAATATTATTTGGTCACTTTAGCAAACAAGATGCCTACTGAAGGTCAATTGGAAAATATGTAGGAGATGTATTGCTAGTTTCAATACATTAAAAATGGGCCAGTGTTTCAACAGTTTGAGAAATGTTGTTTTACTTGTATAAGACAACTTGAAAATAAATGGAGAAGTAGAAAATTGGAAGCTTCTTCTCTGATAAAGTTTGAAGGGTTTACATTGGGCTAAATCAGTGGTAGAATGCAAAACAGTGTTGTTGTCTGGCAGCTTGTTCATTTTAAATACTAATTAGATATTGTATTCTTTTTCTGGGCAAAGGATTAGCAAGAAAAAGTCATTTTTTCATGCATGTTTGTTTATAATCTATTGGTAAAAAGCAGGTGACAGTAACACCTGAAACCAACTGAAGAAAAGGTTTCAGTTCCTCCTAACATAAACTGCAGAGATAGAAAGCAGACAGTAGTATCAAACCGATTGTGCCATTAATAGATATAATCAAACTTCTGCTAGGTGAGTGGGATAGGTGCCAGAATAATTGCAGTCAAGAAAATATGAAAAATCACTATCTGGGATTGGCAGACTGAAGAGAGTTCTCTCTCTCTCTCTCTCCCTCTCTCTCATTCTCTTTCCCTCTCCCTCCCTTTCTCCCTCCATCTCACCTTCAAGTCAGTCTGGATTCCTAGCAATGCCTAGGCAGTACTCTATAGTATTCCTGGCAACGTTTTCCTTTTTCTTGCCTGCCTGTTTTGTGCCCAAGGACTAGAACTCGTGTCTCCTGGTTTCTAGTGGGCTGCCTTAACCATTACACTAGTGGCTATGTTTGTCATGTTAGAAACCTTGAAAGATGCTTCATAGTTCTCTAGAGACTCAGTGGAAATGTCCCCAGCATTCAAATCTTTGCTTATCCTTCCTTTTGGTCTCTCCTTTAACCTTGTGCTCTTCAGATGTAATATACTTCATTTCCTCCGCCTATGATGGCTAGGGACGCTAAGAACTATGGTAGAACATTCCAGAGATCATAGTGGAAAGCTGGCCTAGCAGGTTATGAAATAAAAACAATGCATTTCAGACTTGAGGACTTTCATTGTCCTTGTTTAATGAAGTGCAAAGGAGAATATCTTTTCTATAGAGCAAGTCTGTTCTGTAAACAATTTCTTTGCTCTTTAGATTTCTATCTCACCATTCTCCAAGGTCTCAAGGGAAGCTTACAGAATGGGACAGTCCCTTTATTTCAACTTCATAGTACAATCCTTCAGGATGGATAAGTGACTGGCCAAAAATTAGCTACTAAAAATATGAAGGCTGAGCCTGAATCTTGGTCTTCAGTTTTTTAATCCAACATCTTAACATTGTTTCTCCTTTAAGCAAGATACCAAGATAAATAGCACAATCAAAAACATGCCAATTGCATGGTATTTCATCATGCGATAGACCAGATTTCAAAGAATGCATTAACTGAGAATAAAAAGGCTTTAGATGGTCTTGAGATAGAGACATCACTGATTATATCACAAAAGCAATGCTATCAATAGAATTTGAAGAACATTGAATTTCTTTTCTGGGGAAAGGAGGAGAAACCTCAAACAGGGGCTATGAGTAGGTAGAGTTCCATCAGTTAGCGATTCCAATTCGATATTCAGACTTTTGTGCTAACAGAACAGTCTATAGTGAAGAGATCTTATCCTGTCTTGCAACGTCTTAAAAGTCTATTTCTGAAAATATTCTGTAAACATATTTGGCATATGAGAGTAAAACAGGACAATCTTAAGTGAATTATTGATTTAAAAAAAAATGCTGGAGAAAAAGAATCATTTTATGGCAGATAGTTAGTCTCTACTGCTATTATAAAATCAAGCCAAACTGTTTTAGGAACAAATGACACTTTGTCAGAATGTGGGTTGGCCAAGGTTGTAATTTTCCATTGTTACTTTAGCTTTTGATCTAGAGAGATAAGCAATGTGAAGCTTCATGTCACATGTCATGTTTAGCTCTCTATTTGGAACCCAAAAGCCTCTTTAACAAAAAACTGATAGTATGGCTTATTATGTTGGTGCAGCGTATGAGACTTGTTTTGTAAAGCAGGTTTGGTTACAAAACAAAAACAAAATCTACAAGCACAGGAAAACTCTGGCTGCACCCAAGCATGCCTAATATTGCTTGACTCACTTTGCATCACTGCCCCACCCTTGCAGACTTCTCAAAAACACTTCTCACAGAAACAATGCCCTGTGGCTCTACAGCATTTTTCCCACTGAGTTTCCCATTCCTTATTATGGCTGAGCAACAGAGTACAGCCCATAGTAATCCAGCAAAGAGTAAGTGTGACATGTAGACTGTACATGGTCAGTATTCAGATGACTTCCAATGTGGGGCCACTAAGTGACACGCAGCATCACTTAGAAACCTAATCCCCCTTCAACATCCCAAACTGTGCCCCATTTAATACACCACACATTCAATGTTATTAAATCTTGCTGGGTATCCAGGCAACAGGTTTTAAACTTTTCTGCATATAAAATCCAACAAACAGTTTAAACCCCATAATTTGTTTTTAAAGTAAGCATCTTTATTTTAACTTAAACTTGCTCCAAAAGCTAGATTAGTTTTCCAGTGATGCGAAGCACTGAGAAATTTATTGTCCTAAAATGTAGACCAAGTTTGAGAAAGTATGCCACATAGTATAGCTTAATTTCTATTGAAGGTGGGTTTGTGCTCTTTATATGGAAGCAACTTCTTACTCACGATTATACAGATCCTACAGGTCAAACACAGAGCTGTCTGGACATGGCATTAACACTTTCTTATCCACATTCATTGAAGTGCCATCAATTTCAATGTTTACTCCTAAGTAAATATAATAGCCCAAGCTGTGCTGCATATTTCCTAGTATAAAAATAGGGAATTTATAAATTGCAGCCCGTACAACTGAATAGCTGACTGAACAAGCTTAATATTAATCAGATGCTCAGAAGTTGGGCAGCATTGTAACTGGGAATTACAAACATGGACTGAGAGGGTGCAAATTAATAGGAATGAGCTACCCTTTGGATCCACGTCCAAAAAGTGTTTTGCTATTTGGCACATTGTTAATGCCTCCTTAAAGGAACCAAATCCACCACCATTCTGAAGCACATTTTCACCTTTGGATTGAGACCGCAGCCATAACTTCATTTATAGGAAAACTCTTCTTGCATTGTGTGTTTTATTTTTTTAAACTCAAAACATACTGCAGCGCAACTGGAAATAAGTAGACCTAGTCATTTTATTGGGGGTGAGATATAACACATAAGAAGTAATTTTTTTTTACAATTATGGAAATATTAGAGATAAACCAAAGAAGCATGCACAAGTGTTGAGGATAAGAGTCTCTTTGCAACATTCATGGGTGGTTTTTAGTTCTCACTGTCACTTTCTCCCAGAGTGTGCTTGTCAAAAAGATATTCTGCCATTCCAGATTTTGGTGCTCCCATCTTACGCAAGTTGGTCACGTGGTCACCCAGCTCTTTGATGGATTTAACTTGTTCATCCAAGTAGTGAGTTTCAATGAAGTCACATAACTAGAAGACAAAAGCAATATTACAAATCTATTCTCTCTTCCTAGAGGAGTACAAGTTTTTTTTGCAACTAAGAGAAACACAATTAAAAAACATGAATTACTAAACTCAACCAATGCTATTTAAAAGTTCCACTTCTGGCAAGCCGAAAAAAACCAAATTTGCCTAGAAAATATACATCTGGATGCATGGGCAGCAAAATAGTAGAACTTGATCCTTAAAAGTATGAAAGCAAAAATTAAATCTATTATTTATATGACCTTAGGACACAGTGAAGATCCATTAGTTCCATATTCTAATTCTTTAGTGAAATTTGAAACAGTAATTTGCATCTTGCTCTGTATTTAAAGAAATACAAGTAGTCCTTGACTTACATCCATTTGTTTAGTGACTGTTCAAACTTACAGCACTGAAAAAAGTGACTTATGACAATTTTTCATACTTACGACTGCAGTATCCCCTTGGTCACATGATCAAAATTTAGACATTTGGCATGCATGAGTTAGTGTGCCCAGGGTCATGTGATCACCTTTTGCAACCTTCTGACAAGCAAAGACAATGGGGAAGCCAAATTCACTTAAACTGTGTTACTAAATTAACGACTGCAGTGATTCACTTAACTATGGCAAGAAAGGTCATAAAATGAAGCAAAGCTCACTTAACTATCTTGCTTAGCATTGGAAATTTTGGGCTCAATTGTGGTTGTAAGTCAAGTAGTCAAGGACTATCTATAATTACAAGAAAGTCAACACCAGCCACATTACATAGAGTAAGTATAACTTACGTGAGGGTCATTTTTGTCAGTTGCTAGCTTGTGTAGATCCAGAAGTGATTGATTTACATTCTTTTCCAAGTGCAAAGCACACTCCATGGCTGTCAGTCCATTCTCCCAGTCATCACGATCCGGTTTCTAAAAAAAATTTTTTTTTTAAAACTGAACTACTGGAATCAGAATGATTACAACACCATGATATTTCAGAACAATTGACTGATATAGTGAAAGATGGGCTACTCAAGCCAGCACCTTTTATCTTTAGCACTTGTTTTCCAAGTTGCAAGACCAAACGTTTTAATAGCACCATTTTTCCAGTCTCTGAACCTGGAATGAAACAGGGTTTCATGAAATAACTTTACAAAGCAAGCATCCATGAACTTGCTACCAACTGCTGCTATCTTTCCACCCCTCCTCTAACTCAGAACCTAACAACTTGAGGAGTAAAAGAAATCAATTGGCTTAGTAATGTCTGAAAGAGTCAATGATGCTAGTTTGATTCTAAATGTTGCTCAGTTACAATTTCTAGCAATCTTTGTTGGCCCACCAACTGGACTACAATTCAATGACAAGATTATCTTCCTATTGTTTGAAGATATTCTCACTTAGGTTTCTTTTAATAAAATAGCTCTTTCAGCTTCACCTGTTGCCCACAAACATAAGGTGGGTTTTGCCTTTAAGACATAGGCAATCTAATCTTTGTAGGTTTATTAAATAGGTTATTTGTCCTGTGCAAACACTATAGAATCAGCTAAAACAAAAACATTCTTGTACATTTTAGCCTTGTTATCAGTTCATAGGAGACAGCAATAGCAATAAGACTTATATACCGCTTCACAGTGCTTCACAGCCCTAAGCGGTTTACAGAGTCAGCATATTGCTCCCAACAATCTGGGTCCTCATTTTACCAACCTCGGAAGGATGGAAGGGTGAGTCAACCTTGAGCCTGGTGAGATCTGATCTGCCAAACTGCTGGCAGGCAGTGATCAGCAGAAGTAGCCTGCAATACTGTACTCTAATCACTGTGCCACCACGACAAGACAACATATGAATCCATGCTTTTCCCAGCGGTTTTCAAGATTACTATTTAGAACAGGGCTGTCAAACTCCCAGCCCATGGGTGTGGTGGCTCCGTTACCTGAGCCTGTGTCATCGGCAGGAGAGGACTCCGAGAATGAAGGAGAGGAGTTGGCAAGGCCTCCCTCTCCAGGACCCTCCTCTCTGGCAATGCCTTCGGTGTCCGCCGAAGGGCAAGAGATAGGGCCGGGGCCAAGCACGTCCACGCAGCCACAGGTGGACAGTGATGAGAGTAATGAGTCTTGGCTGGATCCTCGACAGTGTCGCAGAGATAAGCGCGCACAACAGAAGAAAAGGCGTGCCTGAGATTAGGCTGAGTCACTGGACCACACCCCACAGGGTATAAAAGGGAGCGTGGTGGCCAGTCAAACCTTGTGACGAACAAAGCTGAAAGCTTCCATGCCATTCTGCATTGCCGGACTTTTGCTATAGACTTTGCTGGATTATATTTGGACTTGATTTACTCTGTAATTATTGAACATTTACTTTGATGTACCACTCCCACAGCCCATTTAGCGAAGAGGAAAAAAGTCCCAATACGCCGCCGTGAGTTTGACACCCCGATGTAGAAAGAACTCTGTACACATCAGTGTATCAGTCAAGAGCCTCTGCAAGTTCTAAAGGCTATGGGGACATATCACAGCCTGTATATATCTCATAGAGACTCTTGATCTATGTAACCTGATCATGGGCAGAGATAAACCATGGGGGGTAAGCTTTTTTGTCATTTATCAGGGAGCTGTGCTAATGCCCTATTGTGGGGAATAATAAGGCTTCTCAAAACCATGGTGATCAAGGCAAGATAGGCTCAACAGCCACACACAGTAAGTATAACATCTGAACAGAGCCACTTTAGATCAACATTTTCAGCAGAGAACAAATTCAGAGTTTCTATGAGAACTTCTTGCACCCCAAAAGCATTTCAGGTAAAGCAATAGTTCTTGCCATTTTTTCCACAGCTGTTCTGATCACAACATGAAACACTTTGCTTATACAACCTCCTGAACTAATTTAAGTCATATCTGTTAATTATGTGCAGTTTCTTGTATTAAAATCTAGATTCATGATACATCATTCTCAATTTCTCTATAGAACCCTAAGCAGAAAGCAGCAATATTTCACTTATCATATTCCTGCCATCTCATCTCCCCTGGTACAACCTACCTTGATATCATGTAAGAAGATGCGGCCACCTCTCTTGTTCTGCAGCTTCATGAGTTTCTCTGCATGTTCACGCTCCTCACGAGACTGGTGCAAGAAGTACTTGGCAAAATTCTTCAGGGCCACATCATCACGGTCAAAATAATAAGACTGAAAATCAAAATCAAATTCTTGCATTAGGATAATCATCTATTCATGCTTAATCCACCAGTTTGCATTTTCCTAAGATAACTAACAGCTAGCAGAATCCATGGGACATATGACATAAATTCCATTGCTTTGGGGCATGCAGTGGCACACACAGGTGGGAAAAAAGGCAGAGCTTGCATTATTTCTGATGCAATCTAACTCCCTTGCCTCCCTGCAGATGTTGCTTATTACTAGACAATTAGACAGCCCAAGGTGTTATACAATATGAAGTGCTCATACTTGTGTGGAACTGGCATTTAAGATCAAATCATCAAACGTTCTCTATATCCTACAGCAAGAACAGGACCTGAAAACTATTTCCAAATCAAGGTAGCTAGTTCATTGCAACAAAGAACTTACTCTTTGCAAAATTAGACCACGTAAGAACAGGAAACAATTATTTGGATAAATATTGGCAAATGTAGCTTGTCAAAAAATTATACAAGATTTTTAAATTAGATAAAATACCAACGACATTTTTTTTTTAAACAATTCTGATCCAATTCCTCTATGACTGAATTATAAGTTCAGTCATGTAGCAAGCTTCAAGAAGGCTTTAGAAACCCCTTCAATTTTAAAAGGCAGCAGCCGCTGCCAGAGTTAACATGCATGGTTATCAACAACAAGAGTCTTTCCCAACTTGCTGCCCTCTTGGACTTCAACATCAATACCAAACAACGTTATCAAATGCCTTTTATTAGAATCAAACAATAGTTTCCCAGCACAGGGCGGAAATCCACACTTATCGAATTCGTAGAAAAAAGTACAAAGTCAATTAAAGCGCAATCACTTTTTTTTTTTTAATCCGAGCAGGCACTGCTCATAAACAAGTTGCGTCACTTCTCCAGCAACCCGGAGGCATAAAAATCAGGCCCAAGAGGGATTCCTCCGCCCTCCCCCTCTCGGCACAGTCAAGCCTACAATCCTTTAAGTCAAACAATACGGCTGTTACACCACCACCACCACACAAAAATACAGGCGCCTTGGCTTCCATTTCTAGGTATGGAACTGTGAGGCTCGGCCGAGCATTACAAATTTTTTTTGGGGGGGGGGGGGAAGCAAGGTAGCCTAGGCCTAAAGGGAAACGTCTTCTGACTAGCACCGATGATGTTACCTAGTTTGGTGTATGAAACGTCTGCAAGAAAAGAAGCAAGCTCAGAGAGCACCAAGGACCTCACAATTCAACCCCGAGCTACAAATATTCTCCTTTATTAGGAACCTCTTCGTATAATGCAGGAGCCACGCGGGTTGATCGAAGATCGAGGGGTTCGGAGCTACCTTCCACGGAAAAGCCACGCACGAGAGCAACCCACGTGGACAGAAGCCCCAAAACCAGCGACAGGGCAAAGGCCGAGATATGAGAGCCTGTTTTGGAAGCGGATCGGTTCTTCACTCCTCCCCTCCCAGCCGGGAAGCGGAGAAAACCTTTCGTGTTTTTTTTTTGTTTTTTTTTAAACGAGGGATAAAACCCGCAGGAGGATTATATATATCGCTCGCATAGGAGACAGACCTCGCTCGCGGCTCAAGGACGCTCGAGGGAAAAAGTGGCGTAAACACCCGAAGCTGCGGCGCGGAGGATTATTTCCTCCAGCCCGTAAAGGAGCAATGTCTTCCAGGATTTGGAGGGGGGGGGGTTTCCAGCGCTCTCCCTCCCTTCTCCCGCCCCTCCTCCAAGAGACTCGGTTACTGACCATGCTGAGATACACGTAAGAAGCGTACAGCTCCAGGTTGATCTGTCGATTGATGGCTGCTTCGCAATCCTGATGGTAGTTCTGGCGCACCTGAGAAGGGGAGGAAGCCATGGCAGCGAGGGGTCTACTGTGCTGAATGTAGAGAAGTCGATAAGGCCCAAGCACGGTGGGTCGGTGGGTCGGTGGGTGGGTGGGTGGGTCGGTTCCGTCCAATCACTGTTGAAGCAGGAACCACCTTACGCCGCCGGCTCTCTCAAACGTTCTAAGCTCGGCCGCCTGACGTAGCATCTATATATATGGAGAGAGAGAGAGAGAGAGAGAGAGAGCGACGTGCCGAAGCACGTCACAATTGGACACAAAGAAGCCACGCCCTCCGTAAACTGAGAAGGTGGGAGAGTCTCAGAACTCTCCCTCCGGTTTTTTTTTTTTTTTTTTGATGCACGCGCGTCTGGAGTAAGCGTGACTCAGCCGTTTCTTGAGCCCCGCTGCTCGTTTGGCTCGGAAGGCTTTGTTTGGACCGGAAGGCGTTCAGGGTGGGAGGGATGATGATTCCAAGAAACTGCTGAGTAGCCGCCGTGCTTACATGTCAAAAGAACACAGTTAAAAGGGGGGGGGGAAATCCCTGGAGCGGAACCCGATCCTTTCCAAACTGAGGCAATTCTGACCGTGCTGAGTGAGGCAAGGCGCGCGCAACGCAGTGTCTCGGAGAAAAGCCAGTTGTGCAAGATGCATAGCTCATATATTTTTCCGTACCGCATACATAATGTGCATGTGATCAGATCTCCGTTTTTATAAACGCGAAAACAAGAATCCGATGTTCATCTGGTTTTAAAAGATAGCGCATTGTTTGGATTTTCAGCGGAAAGGTTGCCTAACAGGCGGCTGCTATTCAGCATTCGACAGAATCTAGCTTAACTGTACAAAGTTATTCCAGAAATCTAAAGCTAGATCAGATTTACTAGCTTTCCTGAAGAGAAATCCCAGGGCTACCGATGGAAAAATATTCCAGGAAAGTCATCGAAATAATTGCTATCAAAAAAAGCTACATGGACAATCAGGAGCTAAACTTGACCCAAGGGAGTATTTACTGTGCCTTACTTTTACTACAAATAATGGAAATTTTTCCATTAATATATAAATATAAATATTTTCCTAAATATATAAATAAAGTCCTCTGCTAAAGCAGATCAAACTACAAGCCACATGAGGAATAAAACTCCTACCTGAAGGCTGAAAAAAACTGATAAAACAGAATAAGCTTTTTTTCTCACTTTAGATGGGAGTCATACCAGTTGATCTTTAGCAAATTGGGTTGTACAGTGAATTTATTGATCCCTACTGGGTAGGGATCTTGTTGGCCTAAAATCAGAGCACCAACTCACTTTCCACTATATGAACAGTGCAGTGGTGGGTTGCCCCGAATGGGGTGAACTGGTAGCGGTGGCCACCTGAGGCTCCGCCCACCTGCCTGGACATTTCTGCACATTCACAGAAGTGTTGCACGCGCGCCCACGAGCGAACCAGTAGTGAACGAAATTGAAACCCATTACCGGAACAATGTATAACTACCGGTATATATTTTGACAGTCCCTGGTAAAAGTTTGCTACTCAGCTTTGAGATGTATGTTTGCAGACATAACAAAAGCGCCCATTTAAAAGTTCTTTTTGTTTAACAATATTTTTCCATCATGTTTCTGGAGATTTGTAATCCCTTCCAGAAATTCAAAGAAATTCAATTAAAATTTATTCATTTTGAATCATGTAATTATTATTAGAAATGTTTATTTTTAAAAGGGAACTGACGTTCTTCCAAATAAATTGCGGGGGCTTATGAAAAAATAAGTTGAAAGCTTTTTAAAAAGGTTTTTTTACACTGCAGAAGAAAACTACAAACACTATCCTCATTGTATGCATGGTAAACAGCCAGCCAAAATAAATGAAGTCTGAGTTCTGGAACAAGCTCTACCAAGTTTTTTTCTTGTAAAATATGCATTCCCATATTTCCTTACAAGAGACAGAAACACATTTTTATTCTAGAGTGTATCGAGCTTTTTTTTTTAAAGCATTGCACATCGTCCTCAATATCCCTACAATTTGAGCATTTTGAAATGCAGAACATTTCAATGAAGTTGTGAAATTAGTTCTATGTCAGCTGAATTGATTCAGTCAGTTGAAAAGATGCATAACATATGAATTTAGAATACCAACAGAGGCAATAGAAGAGATTTAGGCACTGAAAATATAATTATTACTCCTTGGAGATTATGAATTTCATCCAAACTTCTCAGCAGTTCTAAAATAACTGCTGAGTTTGTTATTTCAGTATATCCAAGCCCCCCAAAATATAATGTATGTATTTATTTTCAGTAAAGAATGAAACCATTATGGAAGAAGAAAATCTTAAAACCAAAATGTCACTTGAATTCTAAAGCCTCTAGTAAATGTACTTCAGAACACAGTACTCTACAGTCTGAAATATAAATCTGTATACTGGTATTTCCAAATATTTAGGTAATTGTTCTACCAACATTTGAACTTCTGTCTGGAATTATCTCAGCCATGATTTCAGAATTCTTAGATGGACCTAGAGCAATGTCTCAAGTTTGTACTTCCAAGTATTTCTCAAAAGAGAAGTATGCTAATCCTTTTGAAGTTGAAGATTTCAGATACATACTCTAGCTGTAAAGCCATTTGTTATTAGGCTTTGAACATCCAAATTGATTGGGAATGTTAGATAAAATTGCTTACATTTACAGGACCACAATGGAATAAACTGAATGAAGAGTGTGGAGGGTCAGAGTTGCAGGAACTGGACAATAAAAATAGGTTAAGAAACAAGCAAAGGATGGGAGATCAGTGAAATGCCTTAGTGAGACTCTCTTTGTGCATACAATACACGTCAGTAATATATAGGATCCTGTGTGCTGAATGCACACTAATAGGCTTTGATCTTAAGTGTTTTGAATGGGAATATAATCAAGCAGAATGCTAGGTAGTATCTTAAACTCCCTGAATGTTTTAAGAGATTTACTCTGTAATATTCAGCTTCCACCTTTATACTATAAACCTGTTCACCCTTGCATCCATCATGCTTTCTACCAGCCAAGAAAGGGTTCTCTATGTGCCTCAATTGATACTAGCATGTCAGCAATGTGGTGGGAAAACATCTTACTCTTTTATGTGAAGAATCTTGACAATGTATATGAGTAAACACCAAAGTCCCTATTAGCCTTCATACTAGGATTCAGTTTCAGCAGTATGTCATAGCTCATGAGTGATGTCTAATCCCTTACTCAGGATTCAACTAGTTTTGGCAGCCTCAAATTGTATGTGGAACAGAATGAAGCCACTGACAGAGGCGATTCATCTTCACAGCAGAACAAGAAATTCAGGGTCAAATATATTTATGCCTCAGTGCTTAACACCTTGCTTTTTTCCTCTCACATTTCTGAGCCAATGACCCTTGCCTTTTCTCTTGATGGCCCTGAGAAGTAATTGGGAGACAGTTTCACAGTTGTCCTTCTGGCCAGGGAATTGCTGGTTAGAGCCTCACCAGTTTCAACCCTTCGTATCTGAGCCGGATGAACAGAAGACGGGATGTGGTCATCCATGAACTAGCCGTAGGAAACTCTTGTGATCCTCCTCTCCCATAATGTAAAAGAAGAGCTAGTGGGCTGAAAGGCAGGGATAATCCAAAATTTGAAATATAGGTGTGGGTAAAATGGATAAGAAATACATTCTGAGTAACACTTTGGGATATAATATAATTATTTAAATTAACTAGGCAAATCAGGGTGTAATCCTTTAAGATAAATACAAATGTTCTAACTATATATATATATATTTAACAACTTGTTTTGAGCCTGGCAATGTGTTACTCAGGCAATAGACGTAGAAATTCTATTGAGCAAATACTAAGATACCAAGCTGTTGCTTTTAAGTGTAATTGTAACAGGGAGTGACTAGATACTGAAACTATGTGTTAAGCTATGGAGGGATTTTTTCAAAATGAAGAAAAACAACAACACAAAATTCATAAGATGAGATGACTAAGGGTTTAAGATAGCATAATCTGTGCTTAAAACAGGTGTTCAGGTAAGTTAAACCACAATAATATCCAGCATCTTGTTACAGCCAATCAGAGAACTGAACAGTAAAACAAACAAAGAAGTTACCCAGAGCAGGAATCAAGACTGGAGAAACACACACTATTGCTAGAAAAAGCCAATGGCGCTGAGATATTTATTTGGTCAATTATACATTTTGCATGACACACACAGATTTTCGTAACTATATGTGGGTTATTGTACAAATCCTTTGACGTAGGCCAAGGCTAAGAAAGTTAATTCCTGCCACAACCATGGCAGGAAATAGGAAGCTATTCTGATGCCAGTTCATGTTGTGACATTGCACGAAGTGCTACCATTGCATACTTGCATCCTGGTGTTTGACCCAAGTACTGAGATCATTTATGAGCATTTATGTAATGAAAGCTTATACATGCTGTTGTTTAGCCTTGTTATTTATGGTACTTCGTAAATCCCTGTATATGAATTACAGTACTATATATGTCAGGTCACCACTGAGGACAATTTATCACCAATGAAAAAGATGTAAAGAAGGAGCCAGTTTGGTCTAATCGAGTGGGGTAGAAAGCAGGAGACTGAGTTCAAGTCCTGTTTTAGGCATGAAAGCCAGCTGAGTGACTATGGGCCAGTCACTCTTTCTCAGCCCAACTCCCCTCATAGGGTTGTTGTGTGGAAAATAGGAGGAAGATATGTGGATAATAAAAGTATAGTACAAATAAATAATAAAATAAAAATGTATCAGGACTGTAATTTTCAAAATCCTTATTTTATGACATACTAAGCCAATGGGAGGGCTGAAATCTCTATTAAGCAAACAATTGACTACCGTATTTTTCGGAGTATAAGGCGCACCTTAATTTTGGGGGAGGAAAATAAGAAAAAAAGAATTCTGCCTCTGCCTACCAGCATCAGGATCAGCGACCTCCTCACTTCCATTTGGATTTTGATAACATGTAGCACAAATCTTTTTATCAGTTTAAAACAAATCCTATCTATTTAAGTGGACTGGGTAGGGTGGGGTGGGGGATGATTTTCATGGGGGCAGTTATCTCAGAAGGTTAAGGAGAAGTCTGCTGCTATAGGGGGTGGGGATTTCCAGTCCACACACAAGTTATGAAGGCAGCCGTCAGAACTGCTGGAGCTGCTTCCAGGCAGATCCTGGGAGAACTCAGAGCTCTCGGTGGCTAAAGGGGAAGAAGAA